TGCAAGTATAATTGATGTGCTGCTGGAGCTCTCACAATGTCCTTCATTCAATTTCACGATTTTCACATTTTTCACGAATTTGATTTTTTCAAAAGCCGATTAATTGCCAAAATTCGATTTATTGCCCAGCCCTAATCAGCATATACTGGACAGTTTGGGTATTACTGTGTATTAATAAAAGCATTGAATACAAAGTTTGTTGAGTATTTACCATTTCATATTTCGAAAGATGAACAGCAGAACATCACCATAAAGCAAAAAGTTTCCTCGGTGTAGAAGTTTACGCTTTTTACATGTTTGCTGTATACATCAATGTCAAACTTTTACTTTGTTTGCTTTGACACCAATGGACCACAATGCATCAGTTCACAGTAAATCCACCATATGTATTTGAATATTATGATCAGTGGGTCCCACACAATACAATTTGCAACAATACCACCATCACAAAATGGCGATACAATATACACACAGCTAGAGACTAATGCTAATGTGCTAGTTATCATTTAGGCCATTTTGAGAGGTTATTACATCATGCCGTGGTGGATAGTGTCTCATTTTTAAGAATAGGTGAAAATAATAGATAACATGTTATCCTGTTTTTGATTTATGCAATCTTGTCTTTTGAATATTGAGATGTTATTATGTATACAGATGCATATCTGAATACATAAAAAAACATATTGACATACATATTATAACATCCTGTTTTTATTATCAGAGAGGTATTTTAAACAAATTAACATATATTGAATATGGGTAATTTTTTTTTCTAAACAAAATGAGTACAGATATGTTTGGACCAAAATTTAATTAAGGTTTATTATTGTAGCTGGATTTACAAATATATATTTTTGTTGAATGTGCCTAAACGCAATTATATTTTGTTGAATGCAAAGTCATATTTCATATCATATGAAATAAGACTGGATTAAAGTTATTAAATCAAACAATACAAATATTTTGCATGTCCTTTCATCTCAGTTCCCATAATACTAATTTGAAAGACCTAACGCTCTAGATTTCAATGAAAGCAATGGTTGTCACATACATGCAGTATTGTTGATATGTTAACAACGCCATGAACAGTTTACAAGAAGATAACAATATTCATCATGCTGCTCACTGTGGCATGTTGACAAGTCAGAATATCAATGTTATAGATGTCAGCGCTCTCCTGATATGTAGCCTCGGGGAAACACTGGCTACTTTTGAAAGAGACAATCAAAAGGTTTTTCAGCTTGTATCAACATTCATTTCATTACAAGATCGGCATTTCTCAGAGAAGCAATATCTGAAAGGTAAACTTTAATATTGTATGTCTAGACTGAATACAAATAATATCCTTTCTGCAGAACATGGGGATCAAGTGGTGGGAATTTTGAGAATGAATGAGAGGACTACAATGCACTTGCTAACCAGTCAAAAAGATATTGTTGCCGATTTCAATGGGGAAAACTGAATAACGACTTTGAAGAAAGCTCAAGTTGCCTTGACACAATGGCCTACTGTAGTCATTTATATGAGGACAATCAAATCAATTAGATCTTAACCATACACCTGCTCAAAGTCCTCATGTTACTGGTGTGAATGGACTCTTTCTGATTGGATAGTGTTGAGCCCGGCATCAGCTGTGATAGAGGAAGTTTGTGGTGTTTACATAAATGTCAGGCGTCTTTGACACAGAGGGGGATCACTACAGACAACAGCAGGGGCGCAACAATGACTCAGCTGGAGACAAATCACGCAGGAACAAATGACATTCTGGTTCAAGAAGCAAAGTCCCCAATAATAATGCTGATCAGTGCAACAAGTCCAAAAAGTGTTCCACATTTTTATTTGAAAACTCTTCTGTGTGGGGAAATAATGTGAATATTGGGGCACTGCTACAGTATGACTGCATGTAGTATAAAAGCATATACAAGACCAAATCAGTATGAACAGTATAATCAGATCTGATCTAATTATTACCACAATACTATATTTCTTATCCCAAAAGTAAGTTTTCAAGTGCAGTTGGAAATGCTTTTCTGCTCCAAGTCTTAAATCGATCTGCGGTTAGAAGCAGCAGCCATCTGACTAAAAATGGTCTCGACCAGTTACGCTTGAATCAAGCACCTGCATGCATTTTTTTTTTTAATCAATATTGTAATTCTTTACAAAAGGCCCTAATGTTCGACGAACAAAGACAAAGTTACAATATTGCACTGACTTGATTAATATGATAATTTGTACTGAAAATAGCAATCTTTGTTGAAATAATTTTCAACCTCATCATTGGTTAATCTCCCACATCTAACTGGTCATAGATATGCCAAGAGGGGGGAGACTATTTTTTAATTATTGTTGAAAAATGCAAACAGTACATAAGAGTGTACTAAAATACAGTATATATTGCTATGCAGTTAAGGGTGTAAACATGGTAATCGATTACTTAAAAACAAAATCAATAGCTGCATTGCAATAGGATTCTAAACCCTCTGGTGCTACTTGTTTAATTGTCACTTGTTATGCGACAGAGTTTCTCATTACTTCCAGCTTTTCATTTAGCCTCACAAATGGGTGTCACCAATCATCATTTGGCGATTCCATTCAATTGGAGTGGAGGAGGTTCACTTTGGTAACCATGGGGGAAGAATTACTCCATTATGGAGACTGCCACTGCTCATCTTCAAGGCCTCTTATGAAATACGCCACATCGAGCATCGCCACCAACAGCCACAGCTGCAGGCCCATAAAAGCAACATTCAAACGAAGGGGTGTTGTTGTGAGGGTCATTTAATGTTTACTACTGTTGTTCTTTATATGAAAGGTGTACTGTGGGGTTCTTAGTGGAGGGTCCGTCAAGTGCAATCATATGGCTCATTTCATATTTCAATCACTCAAAACAAACAGTTAACTTACAGTTTCGGGGTTATACAGCAGCCTGTTGAAGTAAGTGTATAATGTATGAATTATATGCAGGAAAACCATGGCCGTGACAATTGTTACAAAGTTTGCTTTCTCTTGGTTTACAAGTAGTCTCTTTCCTCAAACATTTTTTAAAGAGTGTAGAGGCTAAAATATATAATTATTTTTGAGTGTTTTGACCATGGTTTAAGTTAATTCAATTTGAATAACGAGGAGCTGTGCATTTGTATGGTGTGATATATGGTTGCGCTGTTCTAGTCTACAATTGTGGATTTCAAACCATACAACAGCTTGTCTCATTGACATCCTTACTTATACATTAAATTCAATATTTGTCATTGTTCTCACAGAACCTTTCACAATACTTTGAGAATGACCTCTTGACTTCATTATGACCTTAACTCTGTCCAGTATCAACAGAGACAACAGTAATCTAAGCTGCAGTATACTCAGTTGATCCAGAGATGACCGTCTTGCATGTTATCTCCTCTAACGTGCAGTAAACAGACAGTGGTAAGCACAACTGCAGTTACATAAGCAGCGCAAGGTAATACGGCTAGGACACACAATCAATGCCCGTCTCAAATGAACCGCCTGCACGTGGATACGGACAAACTCGAGGTTTCCTGCATTCAAATGTCTTAAATTTGAGCTTGACTTGTGTAAAACCAGTTTTCATGGTTACAACTGCAACAGTTACAATACAATGTGAAAAGGAGTATTGTCTAAATTAGGGTTAGGGTTAGTCCCAAAGAAATTGAAGGTGCACAATGCAACTTTTTTGGTAGATGGTTCGTCATTCCTTGTGTTCTTTGAAATGCCACTGACTGAATACTGCTTCTAATACAGAATGTAACAATCAAAAATGTTACACCTTTATAACATACTTCTGTCTGTTTTGTTGTGGAAGAAATCATTTCAAAACTATTAGTAATATTGAATAGGGTAGAGACCTGTGCCCTGGATTTGCTCTTTAGCAAAATATAAAATTGCCTACACCCACATTGTTGAAGAGTTTCTTAGGCAACAGCTTTTTCTCATTGCGTTCACAAAATATTGCATTCAAACTTGTTACTACATACATCTACATTTTATATTATTCTTTCCGCAACCTTGTTCTTGAGTGCGAATGTGTTCCACTCACTCTCCCTTTATCGGCAGAAGCTTAAAAACTAACAGGAAACATAAAAATGGGAAATCATTCAGCTTATTTGAAAAGGCAGGAAAGGACATACATGAGAGGTGATATACAGTGATTTGAATCAAGCGAAAATATGTGCGTTGGGCATTGAGCCACCAAAGGGCTAAGCATGTCAAGAAAAATTATGTGCAATAAGTCGTGTGGAAACAACTCATCATATATCATTGTCTATGACGGATACAGTGGAATAAAGACATGGAAATGGTTATATAGGTGACATTTACTTTAATATTTTTTCAATGACAATCCTTATAGGAATGTTAAGTGGTACTTAAGAAAAAAAGCCAATAATAAAACCAAGGACATTTTTCATGTCTTGCTCAGGCAAAGCATGTTCAAAACGTGCTCACATAAATGGATGATTAATCCGCTAAGATAATATTTTAGTCTTCCCCCCTTTTGAATGTGAATAGAAAATTATGCACAGGCCCAATTAGTTACATAGGCAGCACAAAGCAAAAATATAATTAAGTTTTATGAGCCATGTTTGAAGCAACTGCCTCAATTAGCTGCCAACACAAACCATGTGTCATTGCTCCTACTGTATATGTGTTGAACAGGCAGCTGATATTTCATTCACGTTAATTAAGCCTGATTATATTAGTAGCCCATTTAAATTTAATAAAACTCACTGATTAGTTTAAAAAGATTCAAATACAATAATAAGCTATTTATTGAAGAATAATCCTCAAAGCCAATAGAGAATGAATTGTTATTGTTCACATTTCTAATCTATGCCTTTTAGTTGTGTATGCAGCCACTTTAGGAGGTCTTCCCCATTTCAAAGAAAGATACATTAAATTGCTAATCGCTTTGACAGCAGTTCCTTTTATAATTCTAAAAGCCTTTTCTTCAAAGACGCGCAATGAGTGTCAAAATAGCAGCTCACCTGTCCAAAGGCTGGAGAGGGCAGTTTCTCCTCTTTCCACCGAAGTGCTTTCTGCTCAAGGTTGTGCCCCCAGAAAGAAGAGTCAGGAGGGGATAACAGCGAACCAAAGGTGGGTGGTCCTGGTCCCACTGGCAAAACGCTGACAAGGCTGAAGTTACCACCGCGAAATCAAAAGGATCAAAAAGCCGGTTTAGGTTTTACGCACGGGATGGCACTGGGCGAGCTTCTGCGAGTTTAGCGAATTAAAGTCTTGTAATTAGATTGAATGTGGTCTTCACTCTGAGAAGACAACAGCGAGCATCTGTCTGTTCTTTGATGCCGTAGTATTTCAAAGCATGAGTGAAAGATGGGAGGAGAGTAGCGCTGTTTTAACTCAGCCCACCAAACGTGTAGTGACGGGGCGCCTTCACGTACAATGGGAGATACAGCCATCACGATAGCCATGCAGATCTATGGACATTTTAAAATAGTAACGTATGTTATCGTTCATTCAGGGAGTATAGAGATTGTGCATAGGTTCATACAAGCCAAAAATATGTAATAATCTTAAGGCCAAATAAACAGCTATATTAACCACCGAAAAAATATTTGACAGTTCCTCCTAGACTTGAACACGATAACGTGCACATATGATACAACCATACACTATCCACATGTAAGTGAAACAATGTATCAGTTTTGTGGATTCGACTTTTTACTAACTTTACTAACGTCTTTGTGGTTATATAGTACAAAACAAAAACATATATTTTTTTCTGTGCTTCCGCGTGTACCATAGTCATATCAATCAAGCAAATGTAAATTATGTAATCCAGCGATTTCTAAAACATTTCATTATTCTTGTGTAGTAAAACAAACAAAAAATCGAATCCGTAGTTTAGTAGTTCCATAATTTGAGAAAGACTGCCCCCTATTGAGTCCACTGTCCGAATGCTTTCCTAATGTGGACTTTTGAAACAGCTGTATTCACACTTGTAATGTTAAATTAATTTTATACGTGAATTGAGTTTTTTTGAAGCCTTAATTATATAGAATAGACTTCACCCACATTATCTACCTCATTAGGTCTACAGACGTATGCAGGAAATCAACGGGATCAGTCTGGGAATGGATGCTGTCATGTTATCATTTGCTGTTTAGTACTGGCCTCAGATTTCTCATTGAAAGAAAAAGAGAAGAATAGAAAAATAATCTGGTAAATTAACCAGTCTGGGCTTCTGTTGTAACAATGCATATTATGTCGTATTAATATATACAGTCTACAGTCATATTGTAGAACTAAATATGATGTCTTCTGCCACGAAGCTGTATGTCTCAATGGATACAAACATTTATAATCAGATTCATCTCTGGAGACTGCTAGTAACGTTGATTACAATGTTTTGCCTCCAATCCCGATCCAGTAGGGATGTTCGCTAGCGTCACAATAAGGGCGTGTCCAGAAATTGGTTGGCAAAACGAAAACATCAGCATGTCTCGCAGCTGTCTACCTACTTATGTTAATTATTTGACTGAAAAAGATAATCAAAAGATAAACAGAAAGCTGAAATCTTACAGGGATTCATGCTTTCTGTCTGATCCATATAAACTGAAGAAAATGCCCGGACACATGTGGGACACATGGCCAGATCTGACATTTGCTCAAATGTACCTGTACCTTATCAACACGCCATCTCTGCTTACAGAGTCGATGGATGCGTTCTCATCTGTAAAAGCATATACAGTAACTAAGCCATAATTACTGCATAATTATGAACATTATGTGTTTTGATTAAGGAAAAGAAGTGAATAACTCGAGTGAATATATCTATACCTCAACGGTTTCTGCCACAGCTCGTTCAACTACTACTTAATTTGCACCGCATATAGCACTTGCTTATTGTGTAAATACTTTTTTTCATTATGGTTTTGACTCGTATATTGATTTTTATCCTTGGACTAATAGGACTCTACAATATTATGGAATATTCTTGTGTCGACGAACCAATTGTCCTGATGTTGTGAGTGTCTTGTGTGTTTGCGTCCAACAGTTGTGAGTCAAAGACAAATTTCCCTTTGGGGGAAATAAAGTGGAACCTTGACCTTGAACCTTAATTTCATGCAATTATTTTATTGTCTTTCATTATATGTTTTATATTTTACATACAGAGAGCTGATTGGCTAAGTGAGGGCTGGGACTTAGCCCTCTGTTTCACTGGAAAAGCTATGAGACACACATAAGATACATGTCTAGTGAACAGTGTATGGAGCTTAGATATATTATTTATGATAACTTTTTGTTGCTTCTAGGTTACTCAAGCTTAAACGAAGACATACCATGCTTCTGTCTGCTATGGACATCTGTGGCTCAGTGTTAAATATTAAATAGAAATCTCAATGTTGAGCTCAAATTATGTTGTAAAAGAGATGACCCAGTTGTGATATGCAGAGATCAGGCACGAAAATCAGCAAACAAAGTAAAATTCGTTTGGGTGGAGGTGGCTGTGGTCACATAAGAAAATATACAATGATTCAAATATGCATGAATCGTTCTGAAAGCAGCTGTGAGTGTGTGTGTGAATGACCAGGGAAACAACTATAACATGGTCAGAAGCTGAGAAAAGTACGTTTTGCAATCCCCCTCTAAATGCGTTTTGTATAGACAGCTTCTACATAGACTGTAGCACATCATCTGTGTCTGACCCAGACTTCCCTTTTGTGTCTCCACAGGCTGCATGAGTGTTTTGATCTCACCTTTTCTTAAAGGCCAAACAGCATCCACCTGCTGCAGCATTGGACACCACCCCCACAGTCTGCTCAGTGGGCGATGGAGGTATTTTTGTGCTGCTGAAAGAGATAGGGTTGAGTCCATAGAGCAGTTATAACATATTCTCACTGCCATGTGCGTGCATACTTTAATCAAAGAAAACATACAATCAGATGATAACCTGATGTTGAGCAAATCATTATTCAATCATCAAAGGTTCAGATCCAAATCAATTTCCCATAAAAGTATAAGCATTAGAAATACGTGCAGCCATGGCATCTGGGAGCTCCACTCTGATATATTTAAAACACTTACATTTTCAGAAAAAAATATTGTGTGTTTCACAGGAATTTCTTTAAGATATAAAGATTGTTATTCTTCTTTGAACGTATTCTAAAAGTATACATTTATGCCTCTCAGCTAAAGAGTGTTTATCTCCATCTAGTGGATGAATGTCCACAGCACACATGAGTCTTGTGCATCTAGTCATAATGTCCTTTATGCCAGGTCCTAAAAACTATAAATGATTTTTAAGGATTACCAATAGATCCACTGAATGTATGAGTATAAAATATAAGTGAGTATAATTATAAATACAATGTAATATTTTGTAGATAAAAAGGATTCTTGTTTGAAAAAATGCCATGGTGTAGTAATTACTTTAATCAATGCATAGCATTGATTATAGTAATTCTGCAAAATCAGTTTGGTCTTGTTTCATAACTTTTTTTTTCCAGTAAAGCCTTTGACTTTTACAAACACCTCAAATACTGCTGCTAAGTTTCATCTTCTATGTCAAGGGCAACAAGTATATTTTATTGTATAAATAATATGTAGGAAAAATATGCATCTTGAGTAATTCTTTGTGTAGTTGTAAATCCCCTGGGATCAAACACCGGATATTTATCTTTCAGACACACGCCATGCCCTTAATTGGTCACAGATCATGGACACTGTAAATCTAAACTTTAGATGTATAACAAAGACTTATTCCATGAGTGGATGGACTTTAGTTTCACCATCTCCAGAGTCACAATATTCCCTGTAATCTGCAGAGCCGAGGTTCATGCAAGGACGTCCTTATGTTGCCTCATCTCCATCTGACCACTAGCTCCTCCCAAAAGTCTCCTGTCTTGAAGAAATTAGAGATCAAAAGAAATCTGTACATATGACTATGTTGATATTCATGACACCAGTAATCTAAAAAAGAACATTATTTTATAGTAAGTAGTTCTAATCTAACTGTGCCTCCTTCAACATCATATGAAACTATAAAAATACTATAAGTAAACACAAACATTTTGGAGCTTTGTGCATCTCTCACACTTCCTGAAACACGTCACTATTATTGTTCTTCCAACTCTAGTTTCCTTCCTCAGTCCTCACAGATACAGCACCACCTTTATCGTTTGTGGCAGAATCATTTTGTGAACGGTGTTGGTAAATAGACCGCTGTTTAATGCATTGGCTGAGAATAAACTAGGTTTATGAGCCTGAATGACCCAGGGCTGGGGTGGACCAGAGTTGTGGAATTTGGGGGTAAACTGTTGTTGCCTTAAATGTCAAATCCCCTGGAGGGTTAGAAATGCCATCCATCCATCCATTTTCTTCCGCTTCATCCGTTGCCGGGTCGCGGGGGCAGCAGTCTAAGCAGAGACGCCCAGACTTCCCTATCCACACACACCTCCTCCAGCTCGTCCGGGGGGACTCCAAGGCGTTCCCAGGCCAGCTGAGAGACATAGTCCCTCCAGCGTGTCCTGGGTCTTCCCCGGGGCCTCCTCCCGGTGGGACGTGCCCGGAACACCTCCCCAGGGAGGCGTCCAGGAGGCATCCGGAACAGATGCCCGAGCCACCTCAACTGGTTCCTCTCGACGTGGAGTAGCAGCGGTTCTACTCCGAGCTCCTCCCGTGTGACTGAGCTCCTCACCCTATCTCTAAGGGAGCGCCCAGCCACTCTGCGGAGGAAGCTCATTTCGACCGCTTGTATCCGCGATCTTGTTCTTTCGGTCATTACCCAAAGCTCATGACCATAGGTGAGGGAGGGGACGAAGATTGACCGGTAAATTGAGAGCTTTGCCTTTCGGCTCAGCTCCCTCTTTACCACAACGGTCCGATACAGCGACCGCATCACTGCGCACGCTGCACCGATCCGCCTGTCAATCTCACGCTCCATCCTTCCCTCACTCGTGAACAAGACCCCGAGATACTTGAACTCCTCCACTTGAGGAAGGGCCTCTCCTCCCACCCGGAGAGGGCAAGGCACCTTTTTCCGGTCGAGCACCATGGCCTCAGATTTGGAGGTGCTGATTCTCATCCCAGCCGCTTCACACTCGGCTGCAAACCGTCCCAGTGCATGTTGTAGGTCCTGGTTCGTTGGAGCCAACAGGACAACATCGTCTGCAAACAGCAGAGATGAAATCCTGTGGTCCCCGAACCGGACCCCCTCCGACCCTTGGCTGCGCCTAGAAATTCTGTCCATGAATACAGTGAACAGAACCGGTGACAAAGGGCAGCCCTGGCGGAGGCCAACATGCACCGGGAACAGGTCTGACTTACTGCCGGCAATGCGAACACAGCTCTGGCTCCGGTCATACAGGGACCGGACGGCCCTCAGCAGAGGACCCCGGACCCCGTACTCACGGAGGACCCCCCAAAGGACACCCCGGGGAACACGGTCGAACGCCTTCTCCAAATCCACAAAGCACATGTGGACAGGTTGGGCGAACTCCCATGAACCCTCGAGTATCCGATGGAGAGTGTAGAGCTGGTCCAGTGTTCCACGGCCGGGACGAAAACCACACTGCTCCTCCTGAATCCGAGATTCGACCATCGGCCGTAACCTCCTCTCCAGTACCTTGGAGTAAACCTTACCAGGGAGGCTGAGGAGTGTGATCCCACGATAATTGGAACACACCCTCCGGTCCCCCTTCTTGTAGAGAGGGACCACCACCCCGGTCTGCCACTCCATTGGCACCGCCCCCGATCGCCACGCGATGTTGCAGAGACGTGTCAGCCAAGACAGTCCTACAACATCCAGAGACTTTAGATACTCAGGACGGATCTCATCCACTCCCGGCGCCTTGCCACCAAAGAGGCTGCCAACCACCTTGGTGACCTCTGCCAGGGTGACAGAAGTATCCGCCCCAACATCCTCAGCCTCTGCCTCCGGAGCGGAGGACGTGACGGGGGGATTGAGGAGAACCTCAAAGTATTCCTTCCACCGTCCGACAATATCCCCGGTCGAGGTCAGCAGCTCACCCCCCGCACCGTACACGGTGTTGGCAAAGAACTGCTTCCCCCTCCTGAGGCGCCGGACAGTTTGCCAGAATCTCTTCGAGGCCGACCGATAGTCATGCTCCATGGACTCTCCGAATTCCTCCCAGTCCCGGGTTTTTGCCTCTGCAACAGCCCGGGCCGCGGCACGCTTGGCCTGCCAGTACTGGACAGCTGCCTCAGGAGTCCCCCGAACCATCATGGCTCAATAGGACTCCTTCTTCAGCCTGACGGCATCCCTTACTGCCGGTGTCCACCACCGGGTTCGGGGGTTGCCGCCGGGACCAGCACCAGAGACCTTGCGACCACAGCTACGAGCCGCCGCATCGGCGATAGAGGAAGAGAACATGGTCCACTCAGACTCAATATCCCCCTCCTCCGCCGGGACCTGGGAGAAGCTCTCCCGGAGGTGTGAGTTGAAAGTCCGTCTGACAGGGGTCTCAGCGAGACGTTCCCAGCAGACCCTCACTACACGCTTGGGTCTGCCAGGTCTGACCGGCTTCTTCCCCTGCCAGCGGATCCAACTCACGACCAGGTGGTGATCGGTTGACAGCTCCGCCCCTCTCTTTACCCGAGTGTCCGAAACACGCGGCCGAAGGTCAGATGATACGACAACAAAGTCGATCATCGACCTCCGGCCTAGGGTGTCCTGGTGCCACGTGCACTGGTGGACACCCTTGTGCTCAAACATGGTGTTCGTGATGGACAAACCGTGACTAGCACAGAAGTCCAACAACTGAACACCGCTCGGGTTCAGATCAGGGGGGCCATTCTTCCCGATCACCCCTCTCCAAGTGTCACTGGCGCTTCCCACATGGGCGTTAAAGTCCCCCAGGAGAATGACGGAGTCCCCGGGCGGTGCACCGTCCAGTACACCCCTCCCAAGGACTCCAAGAAGGCCGAGTACTCTGCACTGCTGTTAGGCCCGTAGGCCGTCACAACAGTGAGAGACTTGTCCCCCACCCGAAGGCGGAGGGACGCGACCCTCTCATTCACCGGGGAGAACTCCAACACGTGGCGGCTGAGATGGGGGGCAATGAGTATGGCCACCCCAGCTCGCCGCCTCTCCCCAGAAACACCAGAAAAGTGGAGCGTCCAACCCCTCTCAAGGAGTTGGGTTCCAGAGCCCAAGCTGTGTGTGGAGGTGAGGCCGACTATCTCTAGTCGGTACCTCTCGACCTCCCCCACAAGCTCGGGCTCCTTCCCCCCCAGTGAGGTGACGTTCCACGTCCCAAGAGCCAGATGTTGGGTGTGCGGACTGGGTCGCCGAGGTCTCCGCCTTCGACTGCTGCCCAGTCCTCTCTGCACCGAGCCGCCACGGACCCCTCTGCGGGTGGTGGGCCCACAGGAGGGACTGCCCACGTCGTCCTTTCGGGCTGAGCCCGGCCGGGCCCCGTGGGCTAAGGCCCGGCCACCAGGCGCTCGCATTCGAGCCCCGACCCCAGGCCTGGCTCCAGGGTGGGGCCCCGGCTGCGCCATGCCGGGCGACGTCACGGTTCTTCTTTTCGTGCTGTCCATGTTGGCTTCTGACTGCTCTTCGTCTGACTCGTCACCTGAGACCTGTCTGCCATGGGAGACCCTACCAGGGGCATGAAGCCCCAGACAGCATAGCTCCCAGGATCATCCGAGTACTCAAACTCCCCCACCACGTTAAGGTGGCAGTCCAGGGGGAGAAATGGAGTTTTATAAAAAATCCTATCTATTCCTACAGAGCATTTACAATTAAACCATACGGGATAATAAATTACCCACGGAAGCATAACTGCTTACGTGTTAAGTTAAAACAAGACCAACACAGAGATTCCATTCCCCAATCTGTCAATAATCTCAGCTGGCAAGTCCGGACAATTTACACAGTTGGCTTCCAGGCATTGGAGAGGAGTAACAAAAACTATAAATTATCTGTAAGGATGAATATAAAATGTAAAAAGGAAAGAAAGAAAAAAGAATGAACTTCAAATATTTGAAGGAAAGATGTGTTCCATGTGTGTAGTTGTAAGCCAAGCGAAGAGTAAAATATGGTTAAAAAATATTATGCATAACTCAGTAAACGTTTAGACGAAATATTGCTTCTGTTGTTTAAGATATCTTTCATTGGTGTAAATGTATGGTGTTGTTCAAGGATGGTAGGAAAAGTAAAAGTTATGATAGACAATTGTTTAATGAATAGAATGATCTGAAGGTCCAAAAGATGTGAGCTACTGAATAATAAAAGCACATTTTGTAGTGTGGCATGTAAATAGATATATAGAGTTGTAAGTGATTGAGGAGAATTTCTCTTTTTTCATTATACTACTAATTCTCATTCAGTCATCAGATTTCTCAACGAACTCAAACTAAACTATTCTTAGGCAAATATTCATCTCAGGTCCAAGGGGTTAAAAGCCAATTACTTTTACGACAGAGGCCTTTTGTAGCTCCCCCATCTTTGCTGCCGAGTTGGATATACGTGGCAGTGAGGAGATGGGGGCAGGGCCAGACATGTGGGGAACGCTTCACTCAGTAATTTTAGAAGTCTCGATTGTTCTGCTGAAAACGACACATCCTGTAACTAATCAAAGCAATGAAAGTTCAGATATAGTCAATTAAAACAAAGAAATGAAACAATATTGTGGCCATTGCTGTTTGGTGGCATGAAACGTGTGGAGGTATTTCATTTGATTTCTGTGAAGGTTGTGGCATTGAAGAGTTTGATTCAAATGCAAAAGAGATTTATGCAAGTATTGATTAAAGCATATGTTGTTAAATTTGTGTGTATGTTATGATTTCACATATGATGAAACTGTTTGGGGAGATTGAGTCAGATGCATAACCAGCACTTTAAAACATCTTGCATCATGATGGTTTGGGGTCAGTTTGCGTTGTACTTTTGTGTATTGAGCTGAATGAGGTGCAAATCATCCAGACTGGTCCAGGATCAGTTGACTTGAAGCCGACCCTTTCATACCAAACTGCAAAAGTGGGTTGTCCTAACTCCCAGCTCCCAACTTCCATTTGAATACACCAGTCCCACTTCCAGAACCTTCTCACTCTGCAGGATAAATAAGCCCACCGTGGGTTCCTGGGACACTCCATCCACGGGACACCGCGCAAAGAAGAGAAGAGACCTCGCTGATCTGTGCCAGGTGAGATTGAAATGGCTTTGATTTCACAGAGGAGAATGAATGAGCTCCTTTGTGTTACCAAGGACCTTTGGAATGCTAGTATTTCATGCATGACAGAATCTCAATGCATGCCCTCATAAGCTGACTAAAATGAAGATCAAATTGCAGAATAATGTTGTTCCTGAATTAATTTCATATTAATAATCATAAATCTTGTAATCAAGTAAATGTCTGATTTGTGTTTTCTGGGTCAAATGCATCCAGTGAATGTTACTCTGAATGATTTTATTTACTAAGATGTACAATTTCAGCATATACAATTTAATCACTGACTCTGTCTCCAGTAGAGCCTCAGTACTGTTGTTTCTTGCTCTTTGGAGATTACAGAATTACACCTCTTGTCTTTCAGAATGAAAAACACAGACTTCCTAACAGCCCAAGGTATCCATGATGTAAAGATTCTCTGCAGAAAAACACAGTGAATACAGATGCAAATAACATAATGTTCATGGGAAAAGTGATGTTAAGTTCACAAAAGTCACAGTGGTTATTTTGAACATCTCTGTTGCGCAAATAAGAGATTAGATCTGACTGCTCTGGAGGCATGTGATTTTTCTCTAACAGCCTCTGCACAGACAAATGGAGGATAACATGAAATGGTTGAATCTCATAAAGCAGAGATTCAGAGGAGGGTTCATATTACAGCCTGGAGTTAGCGCAGAGCTTCTATGCTCCAGCTGTGCAGGCCTCGGCCTCTGCTGACGTGGCACAGACACAGACACGTCTGAAGGAGGAGGCGCTCCCCTAAAGGACCACAGCCCAGATCTACATTAGTCCTTACTAAGTTTTAAGTAACTACAATAACTGCAAATACATTTGGGGTTTCAGACTAAATAACAAACCCATTAAATGATACAATGAAAGCATTCAGAGAGCTTGATTTTTTTTCTTTCTTTTGTTCTCCCCAGGCTGCTCTCACTGCTGTTGGAGACAGACAGGATGTGGCTGACAAATGTTGTAGCTGTGTGCCTTCTGGGCCTTGTGTCCTCTGCTGAGGACAAGAAACTGAGCAGCTATGCAACCACGCTGGCTGATAACAGTGCCAACCTTGCCTTCAGGTCAGAAACTCTCAAAATCAAACATGACCAGTTTATGATGCCCTTGATTAACGTCTACACTTTTCATCACAGCCTGTACCACAATATGGCAAAGGAGAAAGGGGTTGAAAACATCCTGATCTCGCCGCTGGTGGTGGCCTCTTCTTTGGGTCTGGTGGCTCTGGGAGGAAAAGCATCCACAGCGTCTCAGGTTAAAACTGTCCTGAGTGCAGACAAGCTGAAGGACGAGCACCTACACAGCGGCCTGTCAGAGCTGCTGTCTGAGGTATGTATCTACAATGTGAATAGGATGGAGCCAACATGAAAACTCGGCAATATCAATCAGCTTTAACACTTGCTAACTGTGGCTTAAACCGATATAACATTGTCTGCACAGGTGAGCGATGCCAAAGCCCGTAACACCACCTGGAAGATCAACAACAGGCTGTACGGACCAAGCTCAGTCTCCTTTGTCGATGACTTTGTAAAGAGCAGCAAGAAACACTACAACTACGACCACTCAAAGATCAACTTCAGGGACAAGAGGAGCACCCTGAACTCCATCAACGAGTGGGGTGCCAAGTCCACAGACGGGAAGCTGCCTGAGATCACCAAAGACGTGCAGAACGCAGACGGAGCCATGATTGTTAATGCCATGTTCTTCAAACGTGAGATCTAATAATACATCCATACATATTTCATGAGGGTTTATTAATTAAGTATTTTGAGTTAAACTTGACTCGTGTCTTTCCCATAGCGCACTGGCATGAGAAGTTCCATGAGAAGATGGTGGACAACCGTGGTTTCCTTGTCACTCGTTCATTCACAGTTTCTGTTCCAATGATGCATCGCACTGGTGAGACAACCAGTGAATTTACAATATTTTACTAAATGAGGACAATATATATACAGTATCAACAATCCACTCAATATAACATGTACTAGAAATATGAATGACAGATAAAATTACGTCTACATGCATTTTCTCAATTGGTTTGAAGTTGGTTCAACATTGACTCCCATATTTTGTTTTATTGTTTTACATTTATCTCAAAAACATAGAACATATGAACAAAAGCTGAACACATTCCAAAAATGTATTTTCAAAAACTATCTTATGTAGATCTTAACCAGGTAATTTTCCTACAATGGATAGTTTTCTCTATACAGCCAGAACTGCAAAATAAACCAAAAAACATTGAATCAACTAAATAAATCAATTTACATTCTTATCATTTGCTTTTCTCTCCAGGCCTGTATGACTTCTATGAAGACACAGAGAACAAGCTGTTTGTGCTGAACATGCCTTTGGGACAGAAGCAGGCCTCCATGATCTACATTATGCCCTATCACCTGGAGCCACTGGATCGACTGGAGAAGCTGCTGACCAGAAAACAGGTGGACACTTGGCTCAGTAAGATGGAAAACAGAGCCGTGGCCATTTCGCTGCCCAAAACCTCCCTGGAAGTCAGCCACAACCTGCAGGTAGTTAGCCAAACACACCAATTACTTCCATTAGCAAACTTGTATTCAAATAGAGGTGTTTAAAGGTGACGTCTAAAGCTTTGTTTTGAATGTGACTTCAGTGCTCAAATCTTTCATGTAAAGCCATATTTTAGTAGCATTACATATTGCTATAACACTACCAATAACACAGCAGTAGCAACTATTTTCTTATACTCCTTTCTACAACCTACTTAGAATGAAGTACTATCAATCAGTGAGGACAGTGTCTATGTGTTTTCTAATTAAAAGCTAATGTTATCTACTCCTACTTACCCTATGATGTTGATTTTATTTACAGAAACATCTGGCTGATCTGGGTCTGACTGAGGCTGTGGACAAATCCAAAGCAGATCTGTCCAACATCTCGGGGAAGAAGGACCTGTATCTCTCCAACGTCTTCCACGCTTCGGCCTTTGAGTTCGACGTGGCTGGAAACCCCTTTGACGCCAGCATCTTTGGCAGTGACAAGTTGAGAAATCCCAAACTTTTCTACGCAGACCACCCTTTTATTTTCCTCATTAAAGACAACAAGACCAACTCAATCTTGTACATCGGAAGAGTAGTTAAACCAAAGGGAGACAAGATGCGTGATGAGCTATAATGTCAGGGTCCATGTTTTTGATAGCTTTTTCGACGTTACTATGAAATTTTGTATGTTTTTTTTTCTTTTACGCTTACCTCACTTTCTAATAAGCAACATTGTGGAACTAATATAAATACATAAATCCATTCCTTCATAAATTTAAGAAGTCCATTTACAAAAGGCTGAGCTGAAGTTGCTTATATTAAGTATGGCCTCTCCCTATGACATTCAGGTGCGTTTCTTTTCTTGCATTATCTTTAACGTTTAAAGAAGAAAGATGATTGCACAAGCTTTTGTTACACGCTCCAATGTCTCCACGCCACAGTAAGACGTCTCTGGCCACTGATTGCACTGAACTGTTCCTTTGTTTCACATTGGAAAGGTGGCAAATGTCTGGTGCATATGTCCACTCATTGGCATATTGAATAATTATACTATGTGCTGTCAAAAATGAGTTCCACAAAAAGGCTTTCAAGATGAATTGTGATTATTGTGAATTTTTCAATAAAAAAATTAAAAATACAAAAGGTGTAATGAAGAGTATATTCTTGTCAAGTGTGGAAAGGTGTGAATTGTAGAAATATAATTCATATGTAACTGAAAAGTAACTACGACAACAGATACTATTGCTGTAAAAAACAAGGCTTGTGTCAAAACCGCTGTTATTGATAAAACCAAAACTACTGGAAACAATATCTTACTTTGTGAAGACAAGCAGATGCCAAATTCTGAAGCCAGTTAAGCAAAAGCAAATAGTAATGAATTATCAGTAGCAACATATAATGTACTAACACCAAAGGGAAAGGCCTAAAGGGAAGCAATATGTCTGGGTGAAAAGCAGCAGACAGGCAAACAGCTCTGAGCTGAATATGGAATGAAAAGACAGCCATCTTTCCAGTGGAGTGGAAGCTGGTATGTGGAGATTAGACAAAACAAACAACCTGATAAACCACACAAACCACGCAGAGTGAAATGATATGGTGGTGTTCACTTTACCACGGTTTGATAAAACAAAACCTGGAGGACAAGGCTCTTGCGGCGAGCTGGAAACAGTGTTTGAACGTGAAGAGACTATTAAACCCTCTTGAGTGAGACATGATCCAGTATTTTATATAATTTATGCCAAGAAATGCATCAAAAAGTCTAGTTGATCTGCCTGCACTGAAATGAAACAATAGAATAATAGCTGGTCATGTCCACAGCGCCCTCCTCTGGTTGACAAATTAATTAAATTACAAATGGAAAAACGTGTATGTTTTATAAAAAATGTATTTTTCCATAATATATATATATTGCATTGTACAAGACAAGAGTTCAACATTCAAAATACAGTACATATCTACCTCACAAAGCATTGACTATCATAATCATATTGTATTTGTTTGTTCCAATGATGGTGAAAGATGATTCAAATAAATGTTAATATTAAGATTATTGGAGTGCATATATAGAAAGAGTATTTTAACACTGCATTATTCATGCATGTGTAAAATACCTGATATAAATGTACATATGCTGATCTTGAACACTTAAAGATAAAAATAGATAAAATCAATATATTTTTTGCCAGCAACACTGGAAAAGTGAGCAATTTTTCTACAGCTTTTTATTGAAATAAGATAAAACTGCTTTCACTCACCTTAGGGACTTTTTTTGTGCCAGAATGACTTACATTTTTTACTTCAAATTCTAAAACAATCATGATGCCATAAAGTGCCTTTTCTTTAGCAGCCAACAACTCCAACTTCAGAGAGCGAATCAGCCATAACATCTACAAGCCTCATGTTGATCTTTTTGAGGTGGAGGCCCATTCTTAAAGCAAAAGTGTACATGTCTAATAAGGATGTCTGTTGATCAGTCTTTTTGAAGTTGGTAAAGTCTAGGGTTGTAAGTGACCACCCAGTGGCCAGTGAGTGCAGAGGGCATCGTTTAAGGACCATCGCCCGTTGTATTGCTGTAATGCATCCACTCTCATTACATTAGCACCATCTTGTTCTGCTGTGCTGGCTGCAGGCAGATTAGCCCGACGATGGACAATCCTCTTAAAACAGTCTGCAATAAGCTTCAGTGAGAGCTGGAGTGTCTGTCCCCACTCCTCTTTCAAGTCTTTTTGTCCACCTGCCGATTTGCCTTTCGAAAGTGCATCTTGATTTCCTCTGTTATCATCTCCTGCCAGTTGACCCTGAGGAAACAGAGATGGATATGAGATAACTCTAAACAAAGATGAATACATGAGGATACTGCACGGCTTTACAGCAGAAGAACAGTGAAGAAAACAAGCAGAGAGCTTAAGATCAAAATACAGGATCACAAAACAACACAATTTACAAAACAAGCAGTTTCACAAATAGTGGAAAAAGTAGACATTAAAACCACACTCCACAACACCGAAACAAGCAAATCTACCTCTGCCACTTTACGCTTTTTTCTCTGATTTCTTTCTCTTGTAATTGGCCATTTCCTCAACATTCAAGCCATGATTGTCCTCTCTGCAGCAGTGCGTAAACAGTTTTAGTTTGTGTGTTAATTGAGAAGTCTCAAGAATCTGATTCTGACATTACATTCTTCATATGTTTACATTTTCAATACTATTAAAATAAATTGCATTTCAATACAATCACCAACAAAAAACAAATGCGTACCCTGGTTTAATTTCTGGTGGTTTCGGCAATGGTTTTGCGAATCCCGTTTTTCCTACAAGCCAGTACGTCTCTTCAATTCCTTTACCCTGAAGGAAAAAAATCCAACAAACGTGTAATTCCCTTTTTGTCTAATGTACAACGTATAATGTATAGGACCTGACCTTCAGCTCAGTTTTGCCCCTCACGTCGATTTTGTAGCCCTCGTTCAGTGAACGCAGGATCTTTACTGTTGTAAGATTAACATGAATTCTATAAGCTGTAAGGAAAACAAATCAAGAATGAATAATCAAAAGGCAAATACAGGAAATGAAGATCTTCGATGGTGTTTAACTCACGCAGCCCAGTGGATTCCATTCTTGAGGCAGTGTTGACTGTGTCTCCAAAAAGGCAATACCGAGGCATGGTCAAACCAACCACACCAGCCACACATGGCCCTAAACAAATAAATATTATATTATAGATTATACATATTAATATTTTACAATGATATTGATCATTTTCAAATAACCTATATATTATTTCAAGCAAAATGTTTTTTGCAACAACAAAAAAACCATTAAGCAAAAAGTTGTAATCCAAGTTTAGAGCTGACCTGTTATAAATTGTTTAAAACCAGTAAAATAATCTAGATGACACATTAAACAATATATCTATTGTGTTAAAATAATTCCAAAATACACTCCTTTATATTACATTAATATTATTACAAATATTAATCTTTCTAAAAACTTTACTTTACAATACTTTTAGAATTGATTCATTACAAATGTGGATACTTTTGGTCCACCCTACTAGATATTCCATTTGTGCAGTGTGAAGGCAGGAGCAGAGACCTGAGTGGATCCCGATCCGGATGCGGACCGGGATGTCCGGCATGTGGCGCATCCGGAACGTCCCCACGGAGCTGAGGATGTTCAGGGACATGTTGGCAATCTCTGCTGCATGTTTGTTTCCGTTCCTCTTGGGTAAACCTGATGCCACCATGTAAGCATCACCGATGGTCTCCACCTGCACAAATAGTGTTGAATACCTTTGTCAACCTCCTTCAAAAGTGTGTGTGAAAAGTAGAACAAAAACGTCTTTTGGGAGGCAATAGAAACAATATAACCATGATCAACGGTCTGTGTTACTGATGATTCAAGGCAAACATACAAAACCATGTATGGTTATTTTCCCATGTCAAATATACACTCAACGTTGTGTTTAGTGATGTAACGTATAATCATACTCTATAGATGTCAATGCTTCTCTGTCTCCTCTGACCACAGCCACTGTGACACTACCACTGCTGCCACTTTCTCTTCTGAATCTTTAAACCACAGATAATTCTGAATACTTCTTTGCACAAGAGGGAAATAAATCAGCTCTGTGTTAAAATAATCTGTAGTCTGTGTGAAGCATTTGCTTTGCGGAAAGGGACAGAGTGCAGATACATCTGAATGGGACTGTGTGTGAACCAGAACCACTGACTTTTTTTAGAAATCCATAGTTTGGCATATCTTGATGTTAAATCCAGATATGGTCCATAAGGATTGACCAATAATATGATGCTTTCATTTGTGGGGTAAAATCCAGCTTGCCTTAACAATCATGATAGCAACACATTAATTTGCATCCGCCCCTGCTACGGCAACAAATGCTCTAGCTCGTTGATGTTCAAATCATCTTATTCCGCATTCGGTAAACAATATGGGTGACGTCAGCTCTAGGTTTGTCCACTTTTCAGAGTTTTCAGATATTGACACTTTAAATGAACTAAATTATTTTGGTCGAATATGGTCAAATTTGGTCGAATATGGTCACACTCGTGTGTGTAATTTCTGACCTTGTAGACGTCATGGTTGCTGAGCACAGCGTCGAACAGTGAGTAGAGGTCGTTGAGCAGGTCCACCACCTCGATGGGGTCACTGAGACTGGAGATGGTGGTGAAGCCCACAATGTCACTGAAGTATATGGTCACCTGATCAAAGTACTCAGGCTCCACTGTAGCTCCTGTCTTTAGAGCCTCGGCCACAGAGCTGCAGTGAAAGACTTGTTAAGGGAGCGGTAACATTTTTAAAAATACTTTTTGGAAAACATTTCTTACAACGCTATTCTTCATATATAGAATTTTTGAAAGTATAGGAACCCCTGGTTAAGAGAGTAAGTAAGTAAAGCATCTTATTTTCATATAACGCATTTCACAGACCAATATAGTACTATAATTAATAGTACAATACAGTAGTGCCTGTGGTGAGTTACAGGTCAGGATTATTGCACTGTAGGACTGAAACTAGTTGAATTAATCACGATTATTGAAAATCAAACAATACTATGTCAGACTCTTTATCACATTCTGATGGAAATTGCGTATTTTTTTATTTCTGTTTTAACAAAAAACTAAGAACTATTTTTGTTGTCTACGAAAATGTTTCGGGACTTGGGCCTTTGATGCCTAGAAAATACAAATACATACATATACATGCATGGCGCCAGAAAAATGACACCGTGGTAGTATTTTAAATGTGGTTTTACAGCAAATGACAAATACATTCTTAAATCTTGAATAAGATTACTTTGGTAATTTTACCACAACTTTCTCACATTTGTCGGTTGAGTTTCCCTTTTCTTTTAGAAAACAGTAATCTAAATTCATAATTTTGTGTTGTTGTGTAATTATAGTTTTGAGAAGTCTTTAAAGAGTCTAACTCACGGTGGGAGCATTTCTGACAGCAGTTTCTCAGTCCTCTGCTTCTCCACCTCCAGCTCCTCTGTCCGCTCCCGGATCAGGTCCTCCAGGTTAGAGCTGTACTGTTCCAACATCCGCAGCATCGAGTCAATGATGTTGGTCTTTTTGCCCTTGTTGATGATCTTAAACTAGAAAAAAAACAGACACTCTAGTATGTGATAAAAGATATGGTGGTGGTGCTAGCATTTGGAATGTAGTAAGGGGAGGAGATTCAAAATATGTCTTTTTTTCCCTACTTATAAGACCTATAATTCTGCCCCAGCCAGGATTCTCCTTCTACAAATCATCACACTCTACTAATGATTTCTATACACCTGAAAAACCCTAAAACAACTGGATGGAAATGCAGTCCAAATAAATCATTCTTTTTGCCACAACATTGAAACAGCAAAAATGACAAATCAGTTACGACTTAATGAAATGAAGTGATTGAATTAAATATGCATATTGATATGTTTTAGAATGGTATTTTCCGATAGTACGAGTGGGAAAGCGTGTCTGAATTGTCTAAATTAGTAATTGTGGGGAGTGACGTTACCCGGTCAAAGATCTCATTGAAGTTGGGTCTGCGGTCGGGCTGCTCACTCCAGCACTGTTTCATGAGCTGGATACACTCCAGAGGCGCCTGGTCTGGAGCCACGGTGGGGCGGCACATCGGAGGAGGCTTTTTCACTTTACGAATGATCTCTGTGGAGATACAAGGGAATATTAGTACAAGAAGTGATTGGTGAATTGTGTCAGTATGGAAAAACTTTCACACTTGCCTAGTCCAAGAGCGCTAAACATGAAGAATCTTACCCTGAGGAGTGAGTCCGAGCATGCAGTATGGGGGGCCGCGGACCACCACTTCCTGCAGGATGATGGCAAAACTGTACACGTCTCCTTTATACGTGCCTCTGCGGATACTTGGAGGGTCTCTCAAGAACTCAGGAGCCGTCCAAAATAACTCTGGTGGAGAAGGGGATGTAACAAGCACTGAATTTATTTAAGGTGCTACAGTACAGTATATTGATTTAGGCCTGCCCCATTACATCACAGTGTCACGACATTACAACAAACTGCTGATGCACAGGTCACAGGAATGTGGCATCTCATAAAAGCGGATCATGGTAGCAAGCAGCTGGGGCCTGGGAAACGTTACAAACAATGACAAAATAGACAAAAAAAGCTGCGGTACCTAAAGTTTTTCCCTAATCAATAAACCATGTTAACCATGTTGTCTCCACAGAAAGTCTTGTAAATGAACAAATCAGAACACAATATGCTATCTTATCTTTATAGAAAACATGTTGAGCTTTGCATACTTGTTAGAAAGAGGTTTGATTGAAATGCTGAGTTGTTCTGTCTTTTTCACTTTTCTGTTTGAATATATGAGGCCATAAAATATATGCAAGTAAAAACTGTTTTTTTAGACCCAGGAACTAGTTAGATTTGTGGTTTGAAGTGAAGCTTTATGTTAAGGATGATGAGTGACACAAACCTGCATGAATCATGTTAAAATAAACCCAGGGATTAAAAAAAAATAAAAAAAAATCACTCAATAAAAACAAGAAATAAACGGTTTTTATTTTGTGTATACTACATAAAACTTACAAATAAGTAAAAATAAGTATATTTGCATGGGGCAACAATAAAAATATTTTTAATATCTCATGTATAGTGGATATAGTATATAAGAGTATATTTATGTAAAGAGTATATACCGGGCGGTAATAGTTGCTGTGTCATCCTAGTTTGTAATAATAAAGATGTGACTGAAGCTGTGTTACCTTCGGGGGGAGGCTCTTCAAAAGGGGCTTTCTGTGACTCCAGTAACTCATTAAATCCATAGTCAGTGATTTTGAGGACAAAGCGACCGTCAACCACACAATTACGGGACTTCAGCCTCCCGTGAGGAAAATCTCTGTGGTGGAGGTATTTAATTCCCTGGAAGAAAGGCAAAATCGATTAGGTTGAGTTCCCCCCTTTATTTTTATTTTATTTGACATGACACTCAAAAATAATGCATTTGTTGTTGAGTTTCAAAAGTTCATCATTCGTCCGTGTTTGTGCTAAACCCAAAAAACATTCATAACAATTTTGGACAGTTTGAAGATCAGTAATTAGGTCAGAAGTTGGTACTAACATACTTTTATTTGGCCACAGAGAAGTATATACACAAGCTTGACAGCCTTCCACTATCCTTGATTTGCAACCCATAATTATTTCTTTAATGTCCTGTATTGTTTATAAGCCGTCTATGTAGCATCATGGAGCGCTGTAGTGGTTCGTGTCATAATCCTTGACTTTGCACCTTGTTTTGTCTTTTGTGTTTTAAACCAGTAGATACAATCATTGCACACACTTTGATCAGGTCCAGTAAGAGTGAGGACTTAAACATCCAGTCCAGCTTCACATCTTCGTTCCGGAGCAGATCCTGCAGACTCCCTCTAGAACAGTGCTCTGTCACCACCGCCACCACGGAACTGTCCTGGAAGAAGCCTAAGAACGGATTCACGTTTTCATTTCGGAGGTCCTTCATCTGGGAATATATACATGTAAACATGGTTAACTACTAAACAAGTCAATAGATAGACACAAAAGAACGATAAAACATTTGAGAAAATAATAATCATAAAAGAAGAAATGCTTTTAGTTGTGTACCTTTGTAAAAATCTTGGTGGTACTCTGCTTCACTTCCTTAAACTGTCCGTCCTCAAACTTCTTGAGCCACACCCAATCACCCTGCAATACAAATTTGTAGTTCAAAAAAGGCATACATTTTTAATTGTCAGTTTTGCTTTGAGAAAATGTCATGCTTTGTTCTAATAAAATAATCCTTACCTCATAGACTGCTATATTGGTGGTTTCGTGAGTGGCTGTGGGCGTGCTGTTCATGGAGTGGGAGCAATCTTGTGACTTGTCCTCTATCATACTTTTAGACTCACTCAGATCCTCCAGAGTGATTTTCTGCAAGTTGTGTTAAATATTGGTGTAATTTAATGTTAAAAAAAATATCATAAAGTGAAATGGCAAACCTTTCGACTTATTTGGGGGTTTATAAAAGTTAGATCCTCCAGAGTCAAAAGAATGCGATTGGGTCCTTTAAACAGCTGGATCTGTTGAAGCCTCCTCCTGTGTAGCAATTTTAGCAAACAAATATACAATCTTAGTGTTTGAATTGGGTCTCAACATTTTTGTGATTACAGAAAATCTATCTTGTAGTTGAAGGGTAAAAATCTATACGCAAAAATACCTTATGTACAAGCTTATCCCAAGACCTGCAAGACCCACTGAGAATGTCACAACAAAGACTATAACAATGTATGTCACTTCCAATCCTGTAAAACAAGTTAAAATTCCAACATTTAAGCATTGAAAGCCTATTATTTGAGTCATGACTATGCTTTCATGTTACCTCCAGAGCAGGGAACAGAGGGGTCAAACCAGCAGTTAGAATCGGAAGGCGGTGCTGCTCCTCCAGGGAAAAATATGGACCTCCCAGCAAAACGCAGCTTAGACAACTTTAAATCCACCAAATAGGTTTGGAACAGAGTCGGGCCTTTGTCAGTGTCGAGTATGACATAGTTGGTTTTGACATCACCGTTCTTGTCTACTTGAACATTTTGGTTGAAGCCGTTGAAGGCGGTGTTCCTGGTGAAATAAGCCAGATTGGAGCCGGAAAGTATCATCCCTGCTTTCCTGGCGTTGTGGATGGACTGAGCCAGAAGATAGAGGCTGTTGTAGATGGTGCCATACAGAGGGCTCACCTGCAAATAAGGCAGTACAGCCAGAATACTGATTGAAAATGTGCCATCATTTCAACAGAGTGAGACAAGAAACAGGAATTAACTAGATTACCATTAATTTTTCAGTTTCAGTTCACTAGTTATCAAAAATACCTGCCATTGGACTGTAGCTGTTTGATGTTATGATCTCTAAAGTGTAGATAGCGCTGTCAATTGTGCACACACAGAAGGCTACATACTGAATATTACATATGTTTGATCTGGGACTTACTAAACAATCCTACCTGATTGGGTGTCACCTTCAGCATCACTTCCTGGGATAGCTGAGCACCACTGAACGCCTCATAGAAAGACAGGGGTTCGGACGCCATGGTAACGGTGAGCACAGAGTCATAGGCTTTCATCAGTCGACTGTTGTTTTTCAGAGCGAAGTGTGTGACGTTGTTGTAGGGAACGCTGTAGTGGAGCGTGTCATAAGGAACAAACACATACTTCCCAGACGTCAGGCCTCTCTCCTGAGCAGCGAGAAGGAAACTGGCCTGCTGCTCTCCTCCGATCAACACGGAGTGCATACACATGACGATTACTGCAACGCACAAGAACTGTATGTAAGACTGATAAGGCTGTATTATAGGCTCTCATTTGAGGGGAATTGATCAAGCTGAACTTTCTGGTGGGTAGAGAGTATCACTGGCATACTTACTTGGTGTTAATGGATATGTCATTGCTGTTTGCTTATATTGCTTTTATTAATGTATTTAAAGACATTCCTAGGCAATCATACTGTAAGTGTGGGGCAGCCTCTCCACGGATCTGGACTCTAACCTGGACTGATGCCTTTACTTCTCCCAAGAGGGAGATATATACACATAATATATACAAGTATTATATATCATATATATTTGCAGTCAACCCAAGACGTTTCCATAGAAATGGTGAACCATTAGAAAAGTCACCACTACATAACCAGGTCCCAGTGGAGCAACAATGATCCTGGTGCATGCCTTGTCTAATATGAATGCGGTATGCATACAAGATTGGTGCGGATTGAAAGCCTTACACAGTAAAGATTTGAGAAACTTTGCTGGATTAAATATTCAATGCAATCTAAAAGTGGACCAAGCCCACTACAGTTTGAAGACTCTAAACTCTTCACTCCATCTGTCCTCTCTAATAAAGCTTTTGGAATGGCTGCTAATCATATTTTTGGTGTTATTCAATCTCACCTCTTATCTCTCCCGCGGCCTCGATCTTCTCCAGCGTAGTGTAGATCTCTGTCTTGTTGCCAGCAGCGGCCACCAGACCCACCGGGAGCCCTTTGTTCCTCAAAGCTGTGGCTACTCTTCCTGCTGTGTCTCTCCAGATGTCCTCGTTTGATGAAACCACAGCAATATTAGCCCACCTGAAGTGTTTAAACATGGTAAACAACACATCAGTGGGTACAGGCACTGTCCTGGCAAAGGTTGGATATCCATTGGCTCTGTCCAGTTCATAGTTGATGCAACCGTATGAAAAGAGAGCCTTATTCCAGTCTTTGGCCAAAAGTGATGCAGCTGTACAATATCCGGGGGTCGCGGGAGCAATAAAGGCATCAGCACTTTTCTCGTAGTAAACAAATGCAGTTAGGGCTTTGGATGTTTCGCAAGGTTCTTGAAGGAGGATAAAATCCATTGTTAGGCCCAGATCTAGATTGGGATCTCCATTGATCCTGCTTACAGCCAGTCTAGCAGCTGAAGCAGGATACGATTTGTAATAAATTGGATCGCAGTTCCATGGTCCTAAAACGCCAACTTTGAAAATTAAGCAGCGCACACAACATGGAAAAGTCAATACTCCGATTAGAATCCATAGTGAGAAGTGATAAATCGGCAAATTCGGCAATGCGCTTCGTGTTTTAATTATTGGCGCACATGGCTGGCTGGACTCCCATAGTGGCCATTTGAAGTTTGGAGGAATATGTTGCATTGTAGTTCCAGTGTGTTGAGAGCTAGTGAAACATTTTGTTCACCAAAAGAGTCATTAGAGCCTGTCAAAACAGTTAAAGTTATTAAAGGAAAAATGTTGTCACTATAACATCACAAAGGTACTTACCATTTTATCAGTCTTATTAAGCATTTCTCCTCTTCTATTTCCACATCACATAATAATCTTTTGCCGGTCTTTGTGTAAGGCCATTGTTCTTTAGTTTTGGCCTGAAGGAGAATGACAGGTGAAGCTCTGACAGCTGCCTTGGTTGCGTTTTCAGCACCCTGGAGAGCTACTTAGACGTCGGAGAGTCACCTCCTCTGTGCAGCGCTCCTGTGGGCCTCCTCACGCAGCGCACCATATCTGCAGAATCACTCCGGAGTTAGCGAACAGGCACAACTCCAATCACAAGAGAAAAAAAGTCAGAATTTATAGAGTTATATTGGAAATAAAAAGGGTATAGTGTCAGCTAAGGGCCCAGTCAGGCAAATCCTTTCAAAGTGACCCGGGTCCAAAACGTAGGTGCTACTTGCTAATCCATTTTCACTGCGGCACAAAATAAGAGGATTGACAACCGGCCTTAGTCTACTCTCTAAAACCTTTGTTATCATGCAGGCTGCAGACGCTGCTCAGACCACAACCCTTCATTCACCTCATGCTTTCCGGAAAGCCAACTCATCACACAACACTCACTTGCTAGTCTCAAATACATGTCATTTTGTAAATTAAAACAGAAATGGAATTATCCAATTACTACTAGATATTAATAAATAAAACATTACAATTGGTTTGAGACTTCAAAGCTGGCGGCCCTAGCTTTGAGTGAACTAAAAAATGAACAATGCAATATAATCCTAGTAACTAGTTTCTAGATCTCAAAACTTTTATTCAGTCGAAACATTTTAAATAATAGATTGGGTAACACAGTAGCATGGGGTTACAGTCATCGCCTCTCAGCAAGGAGATCCAGGGTTCTTCTGGGCAGCATGGGGCCTTTCTGAGTGGAGTTTGCATGTTCTCCCTGTGTCTATGTAGGTTTTCTCCGTACAATGGGAATAAGATTATTTACAGCAGTATGTTAATACACACTATCCTATTCAAATAGATAAATAGATAGATAGATACTTTATTGATCCCCCGTAGGAGAAATTCAAGTGTCCAGCAGCAGAAGACTCATCCAGGTCTGTTGTACAGACTGACAGCCGAAGGAACAAAAATCTCTTGAAACGTTCTGTTCGGCAGCGCAGTGATATAAGAATTTCTAAATAAATGTAGGAATAAATACATTTATAAATAAATACATTTATAAATAAATCAACAAATACAAGAAAATCGAAACCTACAAGAATATGCTTTTATTTGTTGATTTTTGTTGAGGAGAGCCTGATCACATTCTTACTGTGATCAGGCTCTCCTCTCCACAGCTAGTGATGTCACTTGATTCTCTCTCTAAAAATGTATTGAGTATACAAGATAGGGGCAGAGGAAATTCTGTATCAAAACTTAGCAAGTCTGGCAGATTGGTACGAGATTAACAATAAAAATGGCAGTAACTATTTTGACATTTGTTTTGTAAAAACTACAATTACTACAATCTATTTTAATTGCTTTAGCATCTTAGCAGAGCTGGACTGGAAGATTTAATTTGAACCCCAGTGGAGAGGGAGTAATTAAAGATAACGAAGGACTCTCCTTTGAGGTCCCTCGAGTTCAACTACTGTTTTCCTGCGTCAGTCATTTCTGCTTTTTCAGAAAAGACGCAACCAGCCGAACAACCGTGACACAGTACAAACTCATGTTGGCTGATTCTTTTAGAGGTAAGAATATTATATCGATGTTAAATAGAATTTTCACTTTCGAATAGATATATAATGATAATATATTATCATAATTTAGTCAAACTTTTACACTTTGGGTAAAATATGGAGGAGGAGGAGGAGGAGGAGGGGAGAGATGTTCTTGTTCACCTGTAACCTTGTCATCTTCTGTCTGGCCTGATTCCCCATTGCAAGCCTTTTTACAATGTGTAAAACATATTTATCCTGAAATTAGAGAAGAATCAATAGTTGTGATACTGTACAACATGTTCAAAAATAAAACATGAATGAATACATTAATATTTTGTGTCTGTACAAACTAAGTGGCTGCACCTTTGTTGACCCATATCCCATCTAAGCTGTTGAGCCTCTTAATGTAACACCTTGAAACCACTGTCCTTCTCCAGAAATAGAGCCACAAACGATGAATCAGCGCAGAGTCCTCAATGAGTTTTTTTTTTTTTTTTTTTTTACTCAATGAATGTGGTTTTTATGTGAATTTTCACACACAAGTATTAGAAAAATACTTATGTCCAACACATTTTGATCAAAACGTCTAGCTCAAGCCAAATGAATGCCACTAATACAGAGGCCAGATAAATAAGTAAAAACTGAAATGATACTTTGATGATTGGTGGGTTTAGGTTGTTACGAAACATCACCTCTTCATGATATTGATGGTCGATCAGGCGATCAGGATAACAGACTCCTCCACCTAGTGGACAATCTTGGTAAAGCAACATTGGCTCGTGTAAATATGAATTTAAGACATTATGGGTAATTGATTATTTGAAAGTAAGAATATATTATTCGGACTTGAAAGTAATTTACGTCTGAATAATATAGACAGTGGAAAACATGGAAGCTTATCATATTCGATAATTTAAAGTAGGGGTAAAATGTCATTCAACCATATTTATCCATAATTAAGCTGACATATAATGCATGGACCACACTTTCAAATTTCGTGACTGATTTGAACCACCATATTTTGAACACATCAGATCTATGTATATAGCAAGGGCCTGTAGATTCTTGTTGGTGCATTTCAAACTGTTCAGAATCAAAAAACAGGATTGTTTTATTTTTATTTCCCCTTATGCAATGCTTTTAAGAGATCTACCCAGATGCCAAATTAAACAAACTGCCGCCTTGTTTTGCAATTAAACAAATGTCTCTGTGAGACATCTGACAATCCCACAGAATGACCACAAGATGGCTCGAAAGTACAGCTGAAAACGGAATCTTCTCTAAAAAATAAAAGTACATTTGTTTGGGGTTATTATTATTATAATAATTATTAGGCCCGAGCCCCGAACGGGGTAAGGGCCTATTGCTTTCACAATGGTGAAAACAAATGGTGGCGGTAAGTGACGGACGCGTCAGTCGCCCGTTCACCAAAACGTGACTGTTGCCGTGCGTAAACTCAAACGCTTTCCCCATTCATTGCAAATATACACCTCAAACATGCCATTGCCTCAAAATCGCTCCACATCATCTCAACACATTACCATCAAAATGGACTTCAGGGAATTTTGATCAGTGAAACGTTGTTTGAGCAGCGGAGCGCCAAAAAGTGGCGTATTTTTTTTCAGTTTTTGACCATAGAAAAATTGCTTCCGTTTGCACAAACAAAGTCTGATTTGCACAAAACTTGAATCCATGGTTCAACTCTTGGGTCTAGGTCATTTGAAAGTTAAAATTCTGAAATTGGCTCTATAGCGCCACCTACAACAGCCATATTAAAAATGCCTATGGGAGGGGTTTGAGGTCAAAATTGTCGTAGAACCATGTAATTTGGAACACATGTTCCTTAAGTCAAGACATGGGAAAAATGTTATTATGGCTAAGCCCCCTGACAAACAGGAAGCCCATAAATTTCATTGCAAAATGGAAACATGAAAACCAATCATTTTCATAAACGTTGGTTGGAAAGCGACTCCTCCTCGGCCGTTTCACCGATTGGCCTCAAAATTGTTCCAAATCATCTCAACACATTTACCTTCATAATTACTTCAGGGAATTTTAATCAGTCAAACGTTGTTTGAGAAGCGGAACGGCAAAATGTGAGGGTTTTTTGGCTGTTTTTGACAACATAAATTTTTTCCCCGTTTGCACAAACAAAGACTGATTTGCATTAAACTTGAATCCATTGTTCAACTCCAGGGTTTAGGTCAGGTGAAAGTGAAATATTTGAAATTAGCCCATTAGCGCCCCCTACAGACTGATTCAAAGTTTACATGGGGAGCCAAACCAGCTCTAATAATCATATTCATTACAATTTGACTAAGTTCTTCTATGGCTACGGGAACCAATCATCACACGGCGGCGCCACATCCTATGCGCGGTGCTACGTGGTACGGTGTGGTGCGGCGTAGTGCGGGGCGTTGTGGAGCGGTGCGTTGCGGCTTGGTGCGGGGCGGCTTGGTGCGGGGCGGCTTGGTGCGGGGCGGCTTGGTGCGGGGCGGCGTGATGCGGGACGGCGTGGTGCGGGGTGGCTTGGTGCGGGGCGGCGTGGAACGGGGTGGTGCGCGCGGTGCGGGGAGTCGCGCGGTGCGGCGAGGGCCGTTTGACGCCGCTTGCGGCTTTAATTAGGCCCGAGCCCCGAACGGGGTAAGGGCCTATTGCTTTCACAAT